GAATGGCATCTATGAGGCCAAACCACGTCTGCATTGACCCTCCATGTTATCTAACCTTTTCACTCTCCTCTGCTCTGCAGTGTGGGGTGGAGTTCCCCAAAGCAGAAGCAGTAGTGAGAATTCCGCTGTCTCCTAGTAATCCAGGTATTTCAGAGACCCCTGCAGTCACAGCACCATGGTCCTGAGATGAGCAGGAAGAACCCTTCCAGTGGGTGTGCTGTCCTGGGAAGTTTTAGAGAATCAAATTCCAGATCTTTGAAGTCCATACTCACTCATTCTCAAAATCAACTAGACCCAGAAACTGTGTCCAGGGGAATCCCTGCTTCCAGACCCTTCTCATGCTTCCTTCCTTCTCCCGCTTGCCAACCTTACCTGCCTGACTTACAAGGGGCATCGTCCCAGACCACCAGAATAGGGACCCTTCAACAATTCCCTCAATTCTATGCCTCCATCTGATCAGAGGATTTATTTCCAATACAATTGGAATTTCTGTTTCATGTTTATTTATTAAAATTTGAAACATTCACTTTGGTAAACTGCATTTTACTAAATATGTGTCTATATATGTTTTATATATATATATATATAAATTTCCTCTTGAATATGTATGTCAGAGCTATCCATCCATGTATCTATACAGAGAGAGAGTGAGACAGAGAGACCAACAGAAAGACACAACGAATGAGAGAAGTTGCAAGTAAGTAGAATGAGACTGAACAAAATACTCACAAGCATGAAAGCATGTGAGTTATCTTAGGATCAACTTAAGTGGGGGTAGTGGAATAGAAATACAAGTTCGAGAAGTAAAAGGAGTGTTGTGAAACTCCCAGCTGCTAAGAAAGAACTTGTTTGGTTTTTTAAAAAATATATAGTGGTCAGGGCCAAATCACCACTCCGTTAACATTGTGTTGGACACATTCACAAGACTGATGCGCGGTTTGTTTAAATGTGTTTGGATCCTGTCACAGTTAAAAGCCTTTGCTATGATTTAAATGTATGAGGCAAAAATAAATGTCTACAAAACTTGTGTGGGAGTGAACACAAAGATTCTTTAGAGGGATGGGATGAAAAAATTTGAAGACCATTAAAGGAAAGATTATCTGAAAGTCTAATCCCTAGCTGACATTACTTTTCCTCCTGAAACATACAATGGGGCTGCCCAGGCCTTGTCTCCATTTGTTCTATTTACCAGTAGAAAAATAAGACTTGGTTCTCATCATAATTTTAGCAGTCATGACGTACATGCCCTCAAGGAAGTGCCACAGGATATTTTAGGCTCCAGGAGCCATTTCCGGGATGTTTCTTTCCAAAGAAAATGTTCATGTCATGAATTTTATTCTATGAACATAATTTGAACATACAGGTCTACCTTTAAATAATGGGCCAGATGACCCCAGTTTTTCTAGGAGTGCAGTCTTCTGTTAGGGTAGATGTCCTTTCTACTGTGGAGAATTGCATTTTGAGATCCTATGAGTCTCAGCATGTTTGTAAGGGGCTGCCGCTGTCTATTATTAGGGTGGCCTCTTTAGCTTTGGCTCTACACCACGTGGCTTAAAGATTCTCCTTGAATTTGACCTGAGGCCCCTGACCCCACCCACATTGCTGGGGAGGAGGGGCCCATTATGGACTCTGGCAGCTGTAACTCCTGACCCCCAGTCTTGCTTGACGTGGCAAAGGAGAGGCAGAAGAGGGAGGTGCACACTAAGCCACTCTGGGCATCCTTCCTGGGTGGGCTGGGTCCCCCCAGGGCCTGCTCTCGCCTACCCAGGAGTACAGCTGATCTCGGCTGGGTCTCCCTCAGCACCCTCAGGATGCGTGCGGCAGGTATCTGCAAGTCCCCAGGAGACTCTGGTTCCTGGCCAATCTCACTGCCCCCTGCCCCAGCACTGGGACCCTCATGTGGCTGCAGGTGTGGCTGGTAGTGCCAAGGGAGCCTCAAACTTAAATTCCCAAACTTAAATTCTCCTGCCCATAACTCATACCTTCAGCCCCCTCCATTTTCTGAGCTAAGCTCCACTCAGTGAAAACAAAGTCAAGTGGGAGTCAGGGACAGGAAAGTGTCTCGGGGGTGGGGCAAAAGAGGGGAAAGGGACAAGTCTCTCCCAAATGGATCCAGAGCAAGCTCCTCCCTCCTGCTAGTAGCCACACTGCCCAGATGTTGACCTTCAGATGTGCAAGGCCCCTGTCTCTTCCCCAGCCCTGGGACACTCTGGTGGCTGCAGGTCCTGATTGCTGTGCCAGTCACAGCAGGAACAGGTCCCCAAAATGTCACATCTCCAGGAAATAAGACCAAGGTTCCACCTAACCAGTTCAGCTCTCACCTCCCTCCCAAAACCTTCACAGGGGAAACCACGTAACACGAAATCTACAACCTTTTGGCCCTGACTCTAACCTGGTACCGCCATGAGCAAGTGAGGCTTCTGTGTTGACTGAGAGTGGAATTTGTGTCATCAATTCCAATCAGATTTCTGGAGGAGGCTCTTCTTTCCCTGATGGTTGAGGTCTTCATTGCAGTCCCCTCAGTGGAAGGAGAGACCTTCCTGGAAGTCCAAACAGTTCTCTTTTCCTCCCTTGGCTAATTTCTTGTTCAGCTGAAGCAGAGCCTGCCTCGATGAGGGAGTTCCTATTAGGTTTCTTAATTTAAGAGACCTCACCAGTTGTGAATTCCTCTGTAAATCAGCAGTGCTTTATTTTTCTGTTGCAGAATGAGTTTGTGATCCTGGTTTTCTACAATTCTTTAGCAAATGTGTTTTTGTAACCTCACATTCAACCCTTCCTTCATTGACCCATCTAGCATGCTCAGAGGGAATCAGTTTCCCCTGCTATTCTCAAGACAGTGGGTTGAGGGAAGAGACTTCAATTCTTCACATCTCACTAATGTTACCCTGAAATTCATTATAGTCCAGGGAGTTGGATTAGTTCCAACTGTGCCAGGAAATTTTGACGAATGAACAAAATTAGAAGTTTTTTCTTTTCTTTTTAAAGAGATGGAGTCTCACTATGTTGTCCAGGCTGGTCTTGAACCCCCGGGCTCAAACGATCCTCCCGTCTCTGCCTCTTACAGGCATGAGCCGCTGTGTGTGGCTTCAATGCTAGATGTGTTCATGGCAGCACGGCCTTCTAAGGCATCTGAGGCAGAACCATCTCCTGTGAGTTTCCTGGCATGTACCAGAGGCCTTCATGAAACTTTTCCTTAATGAGTTTTGAAAGGGCATTGGAATCTTGATCTTTCCCACCTGGTAACGAATTATTTTAAAATTATTTTTAAAGAAATATTTAAGAAACGTTATTTAGAAGTGAAAGGATGCAGGAGAGAGTTGGCCTGGTGTGATGTGAGAAAGACTGAACCTGGTGGTCACTGCTGGCTTTCAAGCTGGAAAGGGACCAGGAGTGAAAGAACGTGGGTTCTTCTATAGACTAGAAGAGGAAAGAAAAAGAACTCTTTTCCAGAGACTCCAAGGGGAACACAACCTAGAGGACAACTTAATTTTAGCCTAGTGAGTCTCATTTTAGATTTCTGACCTCTAAGTCTATAAGATAATAAATTTATTTATTTATTTATTTAGAGACAAGGTCTCACTCTGTCACCCAGGCTGGAGCTCAGTGGCATGATCTTGGCTCACTGAAGCCTCTGCCTCCTGGGTTCAAGCGATTCTCCTGCCTCAGCCTCCCTAGTAGCTGGGATTACAGGTGCATGCCACCACATCTGGCTAATTTTTGTATTTTTAGTAGAGATGGGGTTTCGCCACGTTGGCTAGGATGGGGTTTCGCCATGTTGGCTAGGATGGTCTCGAACTCCTGACCTCAAGTGATCCGCCTGCCTTGACCTCCCAAAGTGCTGGGATCATAGATGTGAGCCACCGCGTCTGGCCGGTAACACATACTTTCCACCCTATATAAATGAAAACATGTTCACATGGAAACTTGTACACAAATGTTTATAGCAACTCTATTCACACTTGCCCCAAAGTGCAAACAATGTAGATGTCCTTCCGTGGCTGAATGAACAAACTACAGTGCATCCATACAATGCACTGTGTGCACTGACACTTGCAATAACTTGGATGGAGCTCAAGAACATCATGCTGACCAAAAAACGCCAGCCTCAAAGGTTACAGACTGTATGATTCCATTTATATGACATCCTGAAAAAGACTTAACTGTAGTGATGAACAGATAAGTGGTTGCCAGAAGTTATGGGTGAGGGGAGGGGTGGCTACAAAAGGGTAACATGAAGGAGTGGTTTTTGGGTGATGGAAACATTCTGTATCTTAACTGCGGTTGTAGGCCGGATGCAGTGGCTCACACCTGTAATCCCAGCACTTTGGGAGGTGGGTGGATCACTTGAGGTCAGGAGTTCGAGACTAGCCTGGCCAACATGGTGAAACCCCATCTCTACTAAAATACAAAAATTGGCTAGGCGTGGTAGTGCACACCTGTAATCCCAGCTACTTGGGAGGCTGAGGCAGGAGAATCGCCTGAACCTGGGAGGTAAAGTTTGCAGTGAGCCGAGATCGTGTCACTGCACTCCAGCCTGGGCCACAGAGGGAGACTCCCTCTCAAAAAAAAAAAAAAAAAAAAAAAAAATTGTACACCAAAAGGAAGATCTTGGCTCACTGCAACCTTTGCCTCCCGGGTTCAAGTGATTCTCGTGCCTCAGATTCCCAAGCAGCTGAAACTACAGGCACCCACCACCACGCCCGGCTATTCATCTCCATTCTTGTGGAGTGCAGTGTGGTGGAGTTCGGTCTACGTGCTTACAGATGGCTTATCTGCAAAATGTGTCTAAAAAGAAATTTTATAGGATAAATATTTCATACATGTTTGAAACAGTGCTTGGCGCAAATGAATAGATGTAATGCAAGCTGCTATTAATACATCATCTCTGAATTGGGAGAATAATTGCCATCACATCGTTGTGATTACACAAAAGCCTCCGTCATGTAATAGGGCTCAGTAAATGTCAATTTCCATAGCATTTCAAACCTGGATACTAAATATGGGGCCAAGGGCAACGACATGTCCCTGGTTTGACTCTTGCATTCTTGGTTTCCTCATTTATCTTTTTTTTTTTTTTTTTTGGCCTTGTTATCTTTCTACCTTCAGGGAAGCCTCTCCCTTCTTCTCCTCCCCAGAATGACCTCCTATCACCCTCCTTCAGGACCTAGATGCAGGGCGTTTCTATCTTAGGCTGACATTTGACTCACTGCCTACATCTATAGCTTGGCACAGAGCGATTCACGCACCCTCAAGAGTGTGGGTGAGACATATACACCCTGTTAGACCTGAAGGTGAGCCCAACCTGGGAAAATCGTGACCTCAGAGCAAAGCAGGATGTGAAAGGTTTTGGAAAGGAGGTGGCCCTGCAGGGCAGGAGGAATTTTTAAGGGGCAGGAGCAGATTGGGGGAAATACCCAGTGAGGAGGGAAACAGATATGTCAATTCTACCCTTTTCTCCACCCAGGCAGATGGCTCTTCTTAAGGCCAATAAGGATCTCATTTCTGCAGGACGGCAGGAGTTCAGCGTTCTGCTGAATCAGCAGGTGAGTTCAGGCTTCCGTTTCAAAGGACTGGCCTGGAGACTGGGGGGTGCTGGGGAAGTGGAGGATGAGGGCAGAAAACAGAGGATAACTGGAGCTGATGAAGTAATGGTGGAATTGTTGGAAACAATGAGAGACACGGGATACAATGCAGAGGAAGGAGGATGTGAGAGCTGGTGCCGTGGCACTATTCTGGGTATTCCTGAATCCCACTGCTGACCACATTCTCCCTTGCCAACTGCCTCTCCGCAACCCCCCAGGTCTTCAATGATCCTCTCATCTCTGAAGAAGACATGGTGACTGTGGTGGAGGACTGGATGAACTTCTACATCAACTATTACAGGCAGCAGGTGACAGGGGAGCCCCAAGAACGAGACAGGGCTCTGCAGGAGCTTCGGCAAGAGCTGAACACTCTGGCCAACCCTTTCCTGGCCAAGTACAGGGACTTCCTGAAGTCTCATGAGCTCCGGAGTCACCCGCCGCCCTCCTCCTAGCCCAGGGACCCAGCCCCTCCTCTCTGAGAAACTCTGACCTTCATGTCCTTAGGCTGTGCTCCCGCCACTCTACACTGACACCTCAATAAAGACCAGTGCTGGTTTTGTTGGACTTCCTGGCTTCTCTTTCATGGTCTGACCTGACATGTGGAGGCAGTCGGTCCCTTTCCTTCCGCCCTCCTTCTTAGATATGCTCTTGGAAGCTTAATTCCTTAGAGCAGAGGTTAGCAGCCTGGAGTGAACACCGGGCAGCGATTCTAAATTAAAACACGCTGAATGAGGGCCAGGAAGGCGGGACTAGAGAGAGTGCGGAGGCGCGGGGGAGGGGGTGGCAGAAACAAGAAAGGGGGATAGAAGCCCTCCAGACGTTGTCCTGTGACCTGCTTGTCAAGGAGGAAACTGCTGGAAGTCTCCCAGTCTTGTTCATCCTGCGCCAGGTCCACCGCCTCGACTTTTCAATCCCCTGTCCTTAGCTCCAGCTCAAACAACATTCTAGGATCTTCGGACTCTGACTACCGCAGAATACCTCCCCGGGGCCCCGAGCATCGTAGGAATTTAGAGTTGTAAGGGATCTTGAGAACCCTTCAGCGCGCCACTTACGTTTCAAGCCGGGGAGCCCCTTCCCTTTGGCTCCAACATCCCTGGGCGCAGATGCCAGGATTGGGAAGCAGAGGAGCCCGCCTTTCCCCCGCCCCAAGCTTCTCAGGTCAGTTCCCGGTCTAGGCTCCCTTTCTCCCAGACCTCCAGACTCGAAGCCTCTTTATTTTAGGGCTCTGGGCGGAACCAGGGCCGGGCCAGACTCAAGACCGTTTTAAAAACGAAATGAAGCTGTTAGACCTGCGTCGCAGTCTCCAGGAAAAGCCTCCAGGCGCAGAGGGGAGGGCGCTTAGGAAGGGTGCACGGTGCGGGGGCGCGCGGGGCGAGAGGGTTCCCGGGGTGCGGAGCCGGGCGGGTGGTGAGCGGAGGGGTGCTGGGGAGGGGCGGGGCTGGGCGGGGGTTGGGGGTACCCGGCGGGGGGAGCGGGGGCGCGCGGAGCGGGGGCGCGGCTAGGAGGCGCCGCATACCAATCAGAGGCGGCTCAGGGTGCGCGCGGGGAGCTGGAAGGCGCAGCCCTGGACCTTTTCAGTGTTCTCTCTAACGCGGGAAAATTTGGGCCCAGAGGGATTGCTCCTAGTGTCAACCTCCAGCAAGTTTTCCTCTGGGACTTGTGAACCGACTGTTGTTTTTTGGGTCTCTGCAGCCTGGATCAGGGTGAAAAGGGAAGCAGCTCAGTGTCCCCAGCGGTGCTTCCAACCGTAGGGTGTGGTCGGCCCTAGACCCAGCTCGGGGGAGTGGCGCCTACCAGGGAAGCAGGCGGCGAGCACCTCTGGGGTGGGGTCGGTAGTCCAGGCAGAGAGGCTGGGGCCTTCTTCACGGCACCCCTCAGGAAATCTCAGTCCGTGAATGAGGACTGGGGCCCGCTCAGGCGGCAGTAGTCGGCAGCCTCACCTTTGCAAGAGAAACCTGGCCTGGTGTGCGTGGGTGGAAGACGGTGACTGGGGGACGCTAGTAGAGCACACAGCACAACGCTCCCGTGCCTTATGCAGAATGGCGAAGTGTTTGTATGTAACCCATGCACATCCTCTCGTGTACTTCACATCATGGCTGAATTACTTATAATACCGACTACAACGTCAATGCTATGTAAATAGTTGTTACACTGTATTATTTAGGGAGTAAGGACAATAATAAAAAGCCTGTTCGGTACAGAGGCAACCATCCATTTTTCTCCCCAAATATTTACCATCCTTGGTTGGTTGGATCCACAGATGCGGAACCCACAGATACGGAGCGACCACTGTATTTGTCTTTCAGCTTAGCTGAAAAGAATGTCAGAAGCCACTTTGGCTCAATTCATGAAGAGGAACTTTCCATACCTTTATAATTATCCAGCTATGGGAGCTGCTGAGCTAACCACTTCTCAGGTGCTCAAAGGAAAATGACTAATTACAGGTATAAGGTAGAAAAGATGATCACTGGGAAGTTCCAACATTGAAACTCCATTCCGACCATTCCATAAGCTTGTGCAATTGAGAAGCTGCAAAAAATATTTTTAAGACAGAAAAATCTGTTACCTGCACTTTCTGCTCTCACATTACTATCAACGAAGTGACTGGTGGTAAATCTACAAGAAGTAAAATTGACAATAGTTTGATTTTTCAGAGATGGTGATCTGAACCTGATGGTTCATAATAATAAAAATAAAATTACTAACGCAGTGAGTGCCCCGAATCCATTACTGTTCCTGAAGGAAAATAAATTAGAATTAGCAAGAATAACCTTCCTTTGTTGTGATAGCAGTATCTGAATTAATACTAGAAATCATATTGTAAATAAATGGTAAAACATTATAGCCATAACCCTGCCCTTATCCTGACACTGATATTGAACCTGACCTAGAGCTGACCCTGAACTTGGGCCTCACCTGTAGCCTCACCTTGCTCCTGATCATAATGGACACCTTGCCCTCACAATGACCCTGACTCTGACACTGACATTGCCTCTCATTCTCATTCTTATATTGATCCTGATGCTGAATTGGACCCTAAACTTTACCTGATCCTAACTTTCACCCTGTCTCTGACCCTCAACCTGAATCCTACCGTGACCCTTACCCTGAACTTGACCTTCACTGACCCTTCCCTAAGCATGATGTTGACTCTGACCCTCACTATGACCCTGACCCTTGATCCTCAACTTGACCTAGACAGTGATAATAATTATGACTCTTTTTTTTTTTTTTTAAGAGGCAGGGTCTTGCTCTGTCGCCCAGGCTGTAGTGCAGTGGTGCCAGCATGGCTTACAGCAGCTTTGACCTCCAGAGCTCAAGTGATCCTCCCGCTTCAGCTTCCCGAGTAGCTAGGACCACAGGTGCATGCCATCATGCCTGGCTATTTTTTTTTTTTTTTGTATTTTTTGTAGAGATGGGGGTCTCACTATGTTGTCCAGGCTGGTCTTGAACCCCTGGCCTCAAGCAAGATTCCCACCTTAGCCTCCCAAAGCACTGGGAATACAGATGTGAGCCACTGCACCTGGCCTTTAACCATGACTCTTGACCCTGAAGCATATACTCTCACCTTGACTCTGACCTTGCTCTCGTTCTGACACCACCCCCTCCTCCACACCTAAGCCTTACCCTGGTGCTCACTCTCACCTTGCACCTGACTATGACACTCACCAGACCCTGATCCTACTGTCACTTACACACTCTATCTCATTCTCACCCTGACCCTGATTCTGTACTTGACCCTGACCCTCACTTTTGCCTTCAATTTTAGCCTCACCCTTAATCCCAACCCGAACATTGAAGCTAACCCTACAGTGGCACTCAACTTGACCCTCCCCTGGCCTGGAATCTTAATGTCACCATGACCCTCATCATGACCATAAATCTGACCCTTGCCTGACCCTGACTCTGCTGCTTACTTTCCACTGACCCTGGCTTGACCCTTATGGTCTCCCTGATCCTGACCTCACCTTGACTCTACAAGAACCCTTATCCATACCTTCAACATGTCCTTGAACCTACTGTGAATCTGAAACTTACGCTGAGCCTGACCTACACACTCAGCCTGACCCTGGCACTAAGTCTTTCTCACTCTGTGATAAACTCTGACCCTGAAACTGACTGACCCTTGCCCTGACCCTGGCTTTGAATGTTTGCCTCACACTCCTCATCCTCACTCTGACACTGACCCCACTCTGATCCTCATGATGACTCTCAGCTCTACTTTGACCCTGGAACATGACCCTTACCCTCATCAAGACCCAGCAATTTGCTCACACCTGTAGTCCCAGCACTTTGGAAGGCTGAGTTGAGAGGATCACTTGAGGCCAGGCGTTCAAGACCAGCCTGTGCAACATAACAAGACACCCCACCCCCATCTGTACAACAAAATACTCACATTGCATTACAAATGTCTGCTACATCATTGTAGTAAATTCTTTCTATTTACTCTAGTTAGTAGCTGCAATGTGGTCTTATGATAAAACTCTGTGCCCCAGTTCTGACCACTGGAACAAGCTGGACACATCTGGCTTCTGGTTTTTTTTTTTTTTTTTTTGAGACAGAGTCTTGCTCTGTCATCTAGGCTGGAGTGCAGTGGCACGATGTCGGCTCACTGCAGCCTCTGCCTCCCAGGTTCAAGCGATTCTCCTGCCTCAGCATCCCAAGTAGCTGGGATTAACAGGCACCTGCCACCACACCCGGCTAATTTTTGTATTTTTAGTAGAGAAAGAGTTTCACAATGTTGGCCAGGCTGGTCTCAAACTCTTGACCTTAGGTGATCTGCCTGCCTCAGCCTCCCAAAGTGTTGGGATTACAGGCGTGAGCCACCAAGCCCAGCCACTTCTGGCTTCTTACCAGGGCTGCGATTTGGTGAGACAAAGGAGGAGTTAGTGGGAAATTTAAGGAAGCCCTCTCTCTCAGGCTCGTGAAAGTGCAGGGTCAGGTCCTGAGAGTGGGGCCTCCTTAAATGTTGTACCCTGGATGCCCTACTTGCCTCTAGGGCCTGCTTCTGGCTGCTCCTAAAGGGTTTTGCCCTCTGGATATTTTTCAGTCCTCCTGCAAATGCAGATGGGTGGCCCATGCCCACTAGTGTTCCGGGCACATCCCAACATGTCCAGGTCCTCTTAGAATGCACTGGAATCCCCGATACATTTGATACATTTATATATTAATAATGCAGCAGCTCATGCCTGTAATTCCAGTACACTGGTAGGCCAAGGCAGGAGGATCGCTTGAGTCCAAAAGTCCTAAAAGATCAGCCTGGGCAACACAGGGAAACCCGGTCTCTACAAAAAATAGAAAAATTAGCCAGGTGTGGTGGTGTGTGCCTGTGGTCCCAGCAACGTGGAAGGCTGAGGTGGGAGGATCACTTGAACCCAGGAGTATTTTTTTTTTTTTGATGGAATCTTGCTCTGTTGTCCAGGCTGGAGTGCAGTGGTGCAATCTCAGTTCACTGCAGCCTCTGCCCTCCAGGCTCAAGTGATTCTCCTGCCTCAGCCTCCCAAGTAGCTGGGACTGCAGGTGTGTACCACCATGCTGGGCTAACTAGTCCAGGAGTTCTAAGA